AACCTGCTTGGTTGATTGAAAAAATATAATAGTCCTTAGTTAAGGGATCTTTGAATTAATTATTTAAGTGCAATTAGTACATATAATCATGGTGTTTATTGGAACGATATTTATTTAGGTATTTTTCTTCATAATTTTTTAGAAATTCAAGTGAATATGATCTAACTTTGATATTTTTTTATAATAATAATAATAATAATAATAATTTTTATTAAAAATAAAGAAAATAAAAAAAAAATCAAAATTTTCTAACATTAAATCTTTGCACATCCAATCACACCCACTTATTGAATAAGACATATCTAAAATCACATTATCGATATGTTTAGCATAATAGTTTGAAGATAATGATTAGCAATTTTAATCAAATTGTTAAAAATAAGTGTATGATAAATTTATTTATTTTGAAATTAGTATAAATTATATGTTTGATAAAATTTTTTATTTAGCGGTTTGAAATTAATTAATAACGATTAAGGTTTAAATTGTTAACAAATTGTTAGATTAGAATTTTTTTAATTTTATTGAAAATTTTATCTTTTTTTATATTTTAATTTTTTTTTCACAGTTTTGATTGAAAAAAAAAGGGAAAAACCTCGTTAAAAAATTCTTACACTAGTTTCATGTAAAGTTGTTTTTTATTTAGGCCAAAACCCCTATTTGCACCCTTCATTTATTTTTTTTTTGCGGTCAACACCTTTCAGAATTTTTATTCTTTATTCACACCCTTAACTTTTCAAAACCTGTAAAAAAACCCAACATTTTAACGCGTCGTCACGATACCATTACAAAATGTACTACGTGGCACTCAAAAATTGACGTGGCCATTATATGCCGTTAGTAATCCAATGTGGATGCCTTTTTTTGATGATGTGGCTTATTTAAATGAAAAAATAAAAAAAAAAAAAATTTAGAACAGGAGCTTTGGGTCCCCGAACCCAGAGCTGGGTTCCTTGTGAGGAACCCGATCTGGGTTCCTCGCCGAACCCAGAGCTCCTGTTCTAATTTTTTTTTTTGGTGGGGGGCGCGGGGACAAGCAGGGGAAAAGTCCCGTGCAGTGGGCTTCACTGCACACGTGGTATCCACATCATCAAAAAGCAGATCCACATCTGAACCTAACGAATAAGGAAACGCCGCATGTGCCATGTCAATTTCTAGGTGCTACGTAGTGCATTTTTTAACAATGCCGTGATGGTCCGTTAAAATATTGGGTTTTTCACGAGTTTTGAAAAGTGAAAAGTGTGAATAAAGAAGAAAAATTCTAAAAGGTGTTGACCGCGAAGAAGAAATAAATGAAGGGTGCAAATAGGACTTTGGCTTTTTATTTAATACAGTAGCTATTTCGAGAAAGTGTGTAAATGCGTACCGTATATACGTATTTGATTAATTTCTAACGCTGAATTTGCTGACGCAGGAATGAACCCAGCAATAAATGTGGGTTGGTATTTTTGGAAAAGGAAAACGAAAACAGAAAGAGCAAAGAAAATCGACGGGTTATTAAAAAAAAACGCTGGAAACTCTCGATGGCATGAGTGGGAAATAGATGACATTAAGGATAATGATAAGACTAAGTGGGGAGAGGTGGTCGTTCAGACACATAAGTGATGGCACCAAGAAAGGACGGTTTATGAAAGAAAATATCTTGGACTCAAGCCGTGTTGAAGTTGGCAGTGATAATCATATTGCTTTTTGTATAATATACTACAGGAAGCGTAGTGACTGCCGGGGAAGTAACCTACATTCTCTCCAGGAATTAACATCCATAAACTAAATGAAGTAACCTACATTCATGTCTTCATCACGCAGAGGCATCCCATCAGGGTATCTAGAAATAACTTCTGAAAGCTTCTTCAGTGCATTCTCCCCGGCTTCCGATGGCAAAAGATCTTTTTCTATATTCAAGCATGCAATACTTAAGCAACTAACCTGTTCAAGACATGAAATAAATGATGGATTATCCTTCTCTGGACATGAAACAAAAATAAACCAAAGAAGTTCAGAAGCATAGAATTGAAGGACTTTTTCCCTGCGACTGCTCTCTCTGTAATAACCCTATCAACAACTGGACTACCAACAAGGTGAAACCAAACCAAGTCAAGCCAGCTTTCTAACTATGCTAATGGCTTGCTTCAAATCGTTTATCAAGAAGGAAATGAATGACCCTGAAGATGCCCTTTATCTAAAAGCCATTGACATATTAGTAGTGTGCCAAACCAGGAAGAGAAATTTGTAGCCCATCTCTTA